ATATATATATATATATATATATATATATATACACAAATATTTCTCTCCCGCTGGGGCCTGAACATGTATTTAGGTGAAAGTTAATATTTTTGTGGGAGTTAATTTACATTGCAATTATTATTATTTCACACTTTTTTATTTTATTGACACATGTAACGCAATTTGACAAAATACAACTAAAAAAGACAGCCCAGCACGAAAGAACTACTTCACATGGTTGTGAATTGTTAAAGATTAACATGCACCTGCTCATTGTAGTCAGTCAGAAAAAATTCAAAATCTTCTAACTTCATTGTTATTCAGCACCGAAAACGCTGAATATAGGGGATCCTGAGGGGAGCTGCCATAGTTATAAAACGAATTTTTGGCCAAGAAGGCCCAAGATTGAGCAATGCCATGTTTTGTGATGCAAAAAATTTCCCTTATTGACCTTCTAAAAGCTTGTATTGATGTAACCCTTTATTAAATAAGTACATTTTACCACGGAATTACTTCCGTTACCGTTGGTTGTTGACTACCAGTATGATAAATCTGAACACTTTTTTCAAATACTGTAGGTTTAAGTCCTTCCATGCAGAACAACGTTTCCCATGCATAATTACCGTGCACCAACTTAAATCGTCATTGCCATAGGAATATTGCATGATAACAGGGCTTTAATCTCAGTCTTTAACCAATGTCATCTTGTAGAACGCACTAAGTTTGACTTGGTCGATGCTGTGGTTGATGAAATATTGTAAGTTCATGCAATATGGGTCAATTTCAACTTTCAAATTACAGTGTTAAGTTGAGACTTTATTAAAAATACTTTTTTGAATGGACCCCCAAGCACTCAACTCGATTTATCATAAAAGTAATAATTTATTTTGGTTATCAGCTTATACAGTCGATCAGTAAATTGATTAAATTTGTAAGATGTACATACTATTCAGATCTTGAAAAATCTGTTGCATAATATGTAAATGTTTGACAAGCGTAAAATTTAAAAAATTCCTGTTTTGTGGTCAACAATAAAAAACCTGCATTCTATCATTTGTATTTATCGCATGTATATTGTAATGATGCTAAATTTGGAGTTAAAAAATTATTATAATGCTATATACATATTTTTGAACTTTAATTCAGATCGATATATAGATAATCATATGAGATGGAACAGGTTAAATTAAATCAAAATTGCGAAACGATTTTCTATAATAGGCTATATATATATATATACTATATATATATATATATATATATATATATATATATATATATATATATATATATATATATATATATATATATATATATATAGGCTATATATATATATAGGCTATATATATATATATTATCAAATGACATGCACGTCCACAACTCATTGTTTCCAAACACGTGTTAAATCTCATATTCAACTGAATGAAAAACCTTCAAGTGGGCAGCTAGCTAGGCTTTGAAGAGAGGGAAAATGCTGGATAAAATAGCTCATTAATATGCAATAAACACTTATCACACTATGATAAATATTATATATCGTCCGTTGTTTTATTACTTTTTCTGAGCCTAACAAAGATATTATTTCAACATGAACATGCAGATATATCTATAGTCATATTCCGAAATATGATTGTGCGGTTTTTGCTGGAATACGACAACCAATTTACTCAAAAGTTATTGTTTCTCCCCGCCTGACCGGACAAAGAATTCGCTATTACAACAACGGACGCTTCGTTTCGAAGAAGAATCGTCTTGCTTCACGATGTTGAATTAAATCCTGGCCCAGCTGTGCAGCCTAGAAAGCTTCATAAGCTAAAGTGCCTCTACCTAAATTCTAGAAGTATTTACAACAAGATTCGTGACATCGAAGCGATGGAAAGTACTAATGCACACGACCTCATCGTGATCACTGAAACTTGGTTGAAACCCTCCATATATAGACAACTGCGAACTGTTTCAAGGAAATGTATATCAGATTCATCGTAGAGATAGAGAGCATGGTGCATGTTCGTGGCGGTGGTGTGATGCTTGCTGTACGACAACCTCTTATCTCGGTACGTAGACAAGACTTAGAAACTAATTCTTCTCTACTTGTATGCGAAATAAAACCTGAAGATAGAAGGAAATTTCTGTGTGCCGTATTCTACAGTATTCAGTATATAGACCACCTATATAACACAGGAGTTGAGTACATGAAAAAATTTAAGCGCTTCCTTATAGAAAGGTGTCCTTATCGAATTTTAGCCAAGTTGTTGTTCTCGGCGACTTTAATATGCCGGACATTGACTGGACAACTGGGGTGCCGAATAATAACGAACTCTTGTATTTGAATTTTGCTAAAACGATACGCGATAATTTCTTATGGCAGCTGATTAATGTCCCGACTAGAGACGATAATATCCTGGACCTTGTATTAACAAATATCCGTCACAAGTTCCGTAACATCGAGGTTTTTCAGGATATTATTAAAACAGATCATAAGTTAATCGATTTTTCTCTCGACTTTAATATTGCTAAGAAGCCGCAAATAATTAGACAGGTCTACAGTTTCAAAAAGGCTGCCGGACCTGCATAATTTGAAAGCGACCTTAGCATATACCCCTTGGGACATTGTATTCGATGAGAGTAGCATAGACAATAGTTTGCAAAATTGAATGGATTTATTCCTAACAATTGACGACCATGCAGCATATTCCCAAGGTGAATATTAAAAATAACTTGCGTCCTTGGATTGACAAGGACGCTATTTATGCATTACGCACTAAAGACATGCTACGCAAGACTGCCATAAGCTAGGACTGGTCTACAACAAGACATTGATCATTTCAATGCCTCCAGAAGAGACAGTAAATTGATACTTGACGCCAAATATCACGACTAACATTAGGCTGTGTTTACACTCTAATCCTAAAAAGTTTTGGGCCTTTGCAAAAGCTAATAACAAGAACACTACTAATCCTGTATTTGTAAAGTCTGGTGGAACTTTCGCTTCTAGTGCTACAGAAAAGGCTAGCATATTCATAATCTATTTTCAGTCAATGTTTCATCATGACGGCTTGGTCACTGATTTAGATCCTGATACGTATGGCCATAATGTCATATTTTCGGACAACACCACGGAAACCTAAGTACTTGAGCAGTTAAGTGAAATACATATATCTGCGGTTCAAGAAGTAGAGTCATGGTTGAACGGCATAGATATCACTAAAGCTGCTGAGAGCCTGAGATTGCACCTTCCCTGACTCGCCTGTTTAATCTCTCTCTAAAACTTGGAGAAATGCCGGTTTTTTGGAAGCAGGGATGCAAATATCAATCCTATTCACAAAAAAGGTGATTCCTATCTTGTGGGAAATTACGGGCCTATATCGCTTCCCTGCATTATTTCTAAAGTAATAGAGAAATGCGTCTATATGCATTGCTATAATTTTATATCTGAGAGACTTTATGATCTGCAACATGGCTTTCAACGGGGAAAAAATTGTACAAAACAACTCTTACATGTCTATCACAACATTATTTCAGCACTCGATAAAAGAATGGAAACTCATGCAGTTCATCTGGATTCTTCTAAGGCATTCGATAAAGTCTCTCGTAAATTGCTTCTACACAAATTGAGATCCTATGGTTTCAGCGGCTCACTATTAAAGTGGTTCAATAATTATTTGACCAATAGAACCCAGAGAGTCGTAATAGACGGTTGTTATTCTGATTGGCTTCCTGTATCTTCAGGAGTTCCCCAAGGACATAGATTATAGATCATACCAGATGTCTCACTGTGTATGTATCCCTATGATTTTCATGTCCGCGATTTTCGCGAGGCTATCACGCCAGATGACGCGTGCGACACTTACTGCCAAAATGGCGCTTACTGCCAAAATGCGTGATTGCTCACGTTTCATGGCGTGGATTACACTTACTGCCAAAATGGCGGCCAACGCGTGCTCATAAAAAATCGCGGACACAATTTTGGCTGAGTGAGACACCTGGTTGATCTATAATCTATGCCAAGGATCGCGATTGAGAATACGTGATCGCGCGATTGCGCGTGGGCGCGAGCTTTAATACTCCGCATTTAATACAATACAATACAATACAATACAATACAATACAATACAATACAATAACAATACAATAAAAATTTATTTATCCACGGTGGAATCTTCAGTATATAAATATATACAAGTTTAAGCATGCAAAAATAAATAAAAGAATATGATCTACTGGTTAATACAATACAATACAATACAATACAATACAATACAATACAATACAGTACAATACAATACAATACAATACAATACAATAAAAATTTATTTATCCACGGTGGAATCTTCAGTATATAAATATATACAAGTTTAAGCATGCAAAAATAAATAAAAGAATATGATCTACTGGTTTACAAGAATGCCGTGTGGGAGTTCATCTAAACTATTATAATACTTGTTTACAGCTTTCCGGAACTGAGCAAACGATTGGAGCATTCTTATATTTTCGGGAAGGCTATTCCACAGCACTGCTCCACTGTACTGAAGGCTTCGCTTCAGATAATTAGTTCGTGGCTTGGGTAGATTCAATTTCATTTCAAAGTTCCTAAGATTATATTCTGAGCCACGAACTGAAAAAAGATTTTGTAGATAGGTAGGTGTGTCACCTTTGAGTGTTTTGAACATCAAGCCAGCTTTAAGTTTTTTGCGTCTCAACGATAAGTTACCCAAGTGTAAAGTATCAAGAAGCACAGTAGCATTAGTGTCATAGCTGGACCTCGTAATGACCCTGACCGCCCGGTTCTGTAATTTTTGTAGTTTAGAACTTAGCGTTTCGCCAAGACCATCCCAGACCGAGCAGCAGTAGTCAAAATGAGGTTGAATCAGTGCTTGGTATACTTGGATAACCGTGTTCGTTGAAATGCAGGATCTTATACGTTTTAAAGCCCCTATGGCTGAAGCAATTTTTTTACATAGTTTGTCAGTATGCTCAGACCACATAAGGTGATTATCAAGATGGACACCCAGAGATTTTACCGAAGTAACTTGGTTGACCATAGTACCGTTTATCTCAATATCTATTTCATTATTTAGTGTTTTTATTCTCTGTCTAGATCCAACTACCATGAATTCTGTTTTTACAATATTTAAGCTTAGTTTATTAGTGGTTAGCCAATCGCTTAGACCTTTCAATTCGGTGTTAATGACATTTTGGAGCTCTTTGGCAGAGTCGGATGCATAACTAATACTTGTATCATCTGCGAACATTCTTGCAGTTGTATGATCAAGACAGTTCGGTAAATCATTAATGTAGACGAGGAATAGCAATGGCCCTAGGCTGCTACCTTGAGGTACACCGCAGGCCACTGGCACAGAATCTGACAGTT